CTCGAACGGCTTGGGAGCAAGAAAAGCAGGGCCGACCTCATGTGATGAGTGAACGCCCATCACACCGCTGGCTAGCCTCGAGTGCCCCTAGATAATCCCTCACGATTCAGCGCCAGGGCTTCCAGCCAGAAACACTCAGCTGATAGTGATAAGTTATACCGGTATGTCCTCAGCTTCGTCGTGCTGCTGCCCTGGTGATGACGTCGCTGTGCGTGCCGTCGATGTTCCAAGGGTCCGGACGGGGCGCTGGAAAAAAAGTGCTGAAAGCTCGCAGCTTCACCCCCAAATGACCAAGGGCTGAACAGCTCCAGCCACTCGCCCGTCAAGGGGTCCAGCCAGACAGGGGATGATGGCCAAGCGCCGCGACAAGAGACGCACTCGGAAAGACGCGCGGAGCAGTACAGGACAACGGGGGTCCCACCACCTCTCTCCGGAGCCGTAGGTCGGTCGGTCGGTCGGTCGACTCAGCGCGCGGCGGATTGAAAGTGGGCGCAGGTGGAGTGGTGCTGGCGTTGCGCTGGAGCCCAAGGTGCTTATTATCGTCGATTGCCCTCGCAAAGCGTGATCGCACGATGCGGTGCATCTGCGATCGCCTCCCTTCCCTTGGGAGGAGCCCCAAGGGCTGGCGTGTGTCGCAGACTGCGCACGCAGCGGTCAGCACGGCGCAGGGATTCGAATGCAAGCAAATCACGTCCGTTAGCGCTTGGGAAAACCTTTCTCTGCGAGCAATGCAGTGCTAATCAGTCAATCATTGTTGATTATGCCATCCCGCGCCATCGAGATGGTCGACTGGCCGAATTCGACCCAAGGGGCTTTGGGCAGCAAGCAGGACGACTGGACGTTGCGTTGTCACCCCTAGCAGAGCCAGCTGTGAGGCTGCCGGTGCCTGGCCCTGGTTACCATTCGAAACATATCAAAGGGGAATTATTGAGTACGTATTGACGCAGGCCAGGACCGTCTCCAACAGAGCTTCATCAGGAGTCGTTTCCGGGGTATGGGGCCCGCGGGAGCCACCTCATCTCAGCAGGATGCGTTGGAGGCTTGAGGCTTGGAGGCACCCTGTGTTTGTACATGGCGTCGGTAAAACAAAGCCTCGAGTTCTACTAATGACGTAGTTGAGCTCCGTTGACGCTTTTCGTGAATAATCTAATTAATTATTAGTGACCCAGCATGGCATTCCGACACCATAGAGGCCTCGCTCGGGCTTGCAAAGTTCCATCGACTTTTACGCAAACTAATTAGGGTTCTCAACAGAATCTCTTATGACTCAATGAGTGCAAAGCAAGAACAATAAGTCATGTAGATCGACCATGACCCAGCAGCTATTCATTAAAAGAGTTCAGCTTCAAGGACACGATAACTTCGACCTCGCAAAGGCAAAGGGCGGTGGTCCCCGCAGTTGCGCACGGTCGCGCTGCTAAAATAGTAAAACATCTCCATCCCAAATCAAAGGGCGGTAACGTTTGCCGATCCCCATGAACGATTTCCCGCTAATCCTGCGAAAGGCAGCTGTCATTCTGACGGCACGTGCAGCAAACAGTCGACTCGCGACTCGCGACTCACGACGCGCATTGATCCAACATGGTCTTGTTAGAAATCCCATCCGCCCAAAGCAGAAAGACGTGCTCGCAGCGGGCGTCGTAAGGTACCTTATTATTTTGGGGGTCGGCCGGTCACGTCATAGGCTGACTGAAGGGTCTGAGGGGCTTTGTGTCGATGTATCTTCTGTACCCCTTTGATGAAGGTAAAGCCGATCATTGGTCGATCTCCCACGCGACCCTGGACCCTGCGACGACCCTTTGGGGGCGTCGACGTGCCAGACACACGCCCCCTGGTCCGTAGCTGATCTAACGTTCATTTATCCACCAGCGCGAGGAGCAACAGTCTGTCCAAACGGTCAATCGACTGTCGACATGACCTTGACTTGATGGCCCCGATCGGGACTCGGAGCGAGCCTGTTCGGCAGAAGCTGCACAGAATCAATTTCCAGGGACTATCAGTATCAGGGCTTTGAGCTTCGAGGCGAGGCTCGAGCTGAGCCATGAGGCTGTGAGCCTCGCGAGCACGCACTCGAAAAGGGCCACAATGAAAGCACCTGATAATCAGCACTGGCTGACGGTTAATCCCAGTGGCACCCCAAGGCTGGACCTCAGCTTTGGGTTCTGGTGCGCATTGTCATGAACGCGAATGGCTCATCAAAGCGACAACCATCAGCGCTCCTCATCCATCTTCACAGCGCGAGAACAACAATAAACTGGCTTATGTTTGCGCGGCTGACATTGTATCCGTAGCAGTCAATCTCTCCAAGCCGACGACCGTTTCTTTACGCCAGCTCCAGTCGCATGATTAACTATCACAGAGCCTCAAGGGATGGGCCTCCGTCCGTACTAGACGGGCTGCGCGGGGCGGAGAACTCACGCATCTGGCCATGAACAAGAAAAACAAGGCTGCCGTGCTGGGGAAAACCCCGAAGCTGGCATCAATGACGTCACAATGTCATGCCCTAGGTGTGGGACTTCAAACGAAGCATTTTGGGGCCCTGCTATTCGTGCCAGAGATCGAAGGTTCGCTGAGCGATCGCGATGACCTACCTGCCCGTCAGGGTCCCGAGGAAGCGCGATCTGTGGGACTGGTCATCAGCTCCCGCCAACGCACACGGACGGAAAAAAGTCGGCCATGACCGTTCGCGATGGCTGTTATCGCAAGTGAAATAGTCAAGTGCGAAAATGACACTGTTTGAATCTCGAGATTTGTTGTTCCAAAAGACTGAGAACACATTACATACCAGGCTATACGGATAGTTCAGCACAAAACGTATGGTATCTGTACTAGTACGCATTGTAAGGTTCGAATTCCGCAAGCTGTAATCTAACGTTATTAGAAACCAAACCTCGCGGCGTCGCAAGCTTCCTACTGTGAGAGGTCCCGTCAACATTCTCCGCGACGAGTTGGACCGATACGGCAAAGACGCTTGATGACTTGCATCGGGGCCTCATCGTGATCACAGTCCAGTTGCACCAGCTCCCCTCCAAAGGTCGTACTTCAGTGAGGCTCTTGATTGGCTGCCGTGCTTGAGAAGGCCGGTACCTGACGCGACTTGCCCAAGGGCATCGACCCCTGTCGACCCCCCCTGTCAAAGGGGCTCGAGGGGGCCCACAGGGGGTAATCGGGAATTCGGGGGGGGGGGGGGGGGGGGGGGGGAAACACCCAGCCCCCCCCCCCCACCGGGAGGGGGGTTTGGGGGGTGGGCGGCGCATTAAAAAAAAAACACAGGAGGGAGAAACAACCCCGCCCACA